CTGCCTCTGGTTTGGGCCCTACCAGGGCTCCCTTAACTCCCTGATTCTTCCCACATTTCTTTAACTGTAAACGGTGACAGGACTTACAGTCATCCTGTCACGCAAAATGGATTTCTCCAGAGTTTCCGATACACAGCTAAAAGTACAAATAAGTGGTAGTTTTTATCAGTGTATTTTGGCATGTACTCATTTTCCAGGCTCCAAACTGAATTAGTTCAATAATTAGACCACAGCTACAGAAACGTGTTTTTTTTTATAATAGTCTCTTCATGTCCAGGTGTTCCAGCAAGAGCTTCCAGAGACGATCCAGAACATCTGGGACTGTTTAACAGAAGAGCCTGACAGAGTGCCACAGTCCAGCTGGCGACTGGTTTCTCCCAAGTCGCTCCTGGACAACTTCTGCCAAACCATGTACTGCCTCTTCAGCCAGTGCTTCACCAGCGAAGAAGAAGAACAGAACCGTGAGTGTAGCCACTTTTTGCTACTTTTGATGTATTTCTATTTTTTTGCTCTAAAGTACCTGTTAGAACCTTTATCTGATCATGGATATAGCTGCAGAGTCTCTGGATTATTGTCTGGACGTGCAGATGTCTGGACTCTATGACTGTTGGGTTCTCAGATCTTTAATCTCCTCTGACCCATTCATGTCCTCTTGCCTCATCGCATTGCGTTTCAACTCTTCTCTGGTTCTTGTTGATCCCAGTCGGAGCCAATGTTGAACTCACAGCTGCAGTCACTCTGCTTGTGTTCGGTGTTTATCTGCGTCCTATAAACTCGTCTTTTCCTCCGTCTTTCATCCTTTACCCAAAACTCCCTCTCCGTGTGAGTGAGGGGTGAGTGAGGGGTGAGTTAGAGTAGAGACACCACAGCAGGGATGGCACACAGTCATCTGGGGGGATCAGGATGGTCTCCTCCTCCTCCCGACGCTGTGATTGAGTCATAGCTGGTTTAGATTTAGTTTTCCCTGTCCCATCATTCTGATGACTTTTGATTTCAAATGTGTCTCTCCGTTCCCTGAAGCACATGTGACTTGTGACTGTCACCTAAGAACAACCGTGATGTATGAGAGCCGTTAAAGTGAGGGTCAGTGACGCAGTGTTGATAAATGTGGCCGTGAAACAGAAAGGAAATCAAATCTGTTTCCTCTGTGTAACGCAACCTACTTATCAAAGTTGGTATGTGCTATAAACGGGCCAAAAAGCACAGGATAAACATGTGTCTGGTTGTAAAGTCATGTGACTCCCTCACATCTGGAACCTTTACGTCTCTTCAGTCTTTTGGTGAAATATAAATCGTATTTAAAATGTGGACGTAATTGCTTGTCTCTTACATTGGCCGTGCTGCACGGGGGGGGAAGGGGGTGGGCGTCGGAGAAATCCTTCATCCGTTCATGTGTGGCTGCCAACTGGTGAACTGTTGTAACTGCACCTGAAACAGGACCAGCATCTGAGCCTCAGATCCGGTGACAGCTCAGATTTTGCCATCGGCGTAAGACCCTCCTCACAGCACCGTATCTTAGGTAGTAACGTCTCATATTACCCAAACAGTACCTCCTGGAATTACCCCCGGGGTGATCCCGGTCTGGGACACACAGTGGAGGCCATTGTTACTGTCTCCTTTAGATGGAGCTGCTGGAACTACAGTCATGAACCCAGGGATTGATCCCAGTAGTTCTGTCCAGGGACCTGTTTCTCAACCACAGGTAGGCAGCACCACCTGTGACCGCTTCCTGCGATGCAGCCTCAGCCAAACTTGAACTTTGTTCTCTCACCCTAAAAACAAACCTTTGACTGGAAAATATTTATTTTCCATTGAAATGAGAATCCGACTCTCTGCATTTACAAGAAATCCTTTCGGAGGCTACAAAAACCGTCTGCGCCGGGGCTCGGTGCTGCTCCAAATCCTGCCAAATTACAACACATACTGAGAAAACAAACAACTCTCAGGTAACAAATCACAGCTCTAAAGATATGTGTGAATATATATAACACACACGCCCTGTGGTAAAACGCCATGAAAACACAGTTCTACATTCCGTCAGACTGTGTACTGTTCTAAAAGTACGAACTGTGATTTTGGGAGATGAAATTAAGAAAGAAAAAACACAAGATCAAAAAGCTGAGACGGAGATCACACACAGTCGGTGGTCGACCTGTAGACATGAAAATGGGCTTAATTTGTTTTCGGTTGTCGCACATCGATTCCCGTGTGACTTCGCGCTGGTTGTTTTGGTGACCATGTGTTTTTGTGACCATATAAACCAGGGGAGGACTGTTTATTGTCAAAAGAATTCCAGAATACTCTAAGGAATTCTGGAGTATGGGACCAACTCTGTCTCCCGTTCCTTCCCTTGTGCAGTCAGTCATGTGTAACCCCCCCCCCACTGTTAGAGCTGTGTCAACATTTTTTAGTTTAACTAACTGTGGACTGAACCTGGGAGGTCAAACACGTTCTGGTTCAGGGCCCACATACAGACTGATCAGATGTCAAGTGGGCCGGACCAGTACAATTATAACAATTAAGTCCATGTTTTTCCGACTTTGTTTTCCTGCAAATAAGTTAAAATACATTAGAAAGTATTTAATTAAATGAAACATAGTTTGACAAAACATCACCAACATGAAGTTTTTGTGGATTTTTTTCACTTTAAAAGTTCAACAAACGGGCCGGATTTAACCCAATTATCATTATTATTATATTCAAACTCTCTATGGCTGGAATATAATAATAATAATAACAATTATTATTATTATTAACTGCAACTGACACAAGCTGCCACAGGAGGCGCCACTGAGTACGTGGTCACACTGCCACTTAATGCTGTTGAGACCCGACAGCTGCAGTGACTTAAAAAGGTGAAATCTTGTAGCTGAGGTGGTGAAGCTGCGGGGGTTTAAATCACCCAGAGTTGTGTGGAGGACGAGCAGAGCAGACGCTGAAGAACCGTGAGGAATATTGAATGATATTAGCAGAGGCTCCATCCATCCATCCATCAGACGTGATATACTGTAAATGTCTAACGGTCTAACGGAGATTCTGCCCTGTCTCTTTTGCAGTCTGTGGGGTTTTCTATTGGAAGAAGGGCAGGAAGAAAGACTTACGTCTGGAAAGCTGAGCGCAGGTCACAGAAGCCGAAGTCCTTGTTGATACTGACGGAGGATCGATATCGTCATCTCCCCCCGAGCTGTTGGACAGTGGGGTAAAAGGACAAACCCGCACTAAAGAACACCACACAGTTCCACCTTTATTCCTGAGTTGTGAACATGAATAAGTCTTTTCCAAAGAAACGCTCAGAGTTTTTTTGTTGCAGAAACGGAAATTTTCAAAGACTTAAAGGACACATGGACTTCACCTTTCATTTTCCCATCTCATCTTTTGTCCAAACAATTCTAGAATTTTACAGCTCCCAGTCCAGCAGGTGACTGAGTGTGTGTTTTTCCATCCAACATCGAGGGCCTGGATTTTTTTTGTTTTGTTTTTTTTTAGTTCATGGGAAGAGATTAATTCATGTTCACGGTTCACCTTCGTAAATCACAACCAATATATATATATATATACAAATATATATAAATACATTCTGTCCTTCCGTGGGTTATTTGAGAACTTGAGTTTGGCAGAAGCTGCTAGATCCTCCACAGTGAAAGGTTCACTCCACCTGGATCGAGGACAATAGCCGTGGCTTCGCCAAATATCTGCTTGGAAGAAAAGCCAGTGATGTGTCCACGTGGGCCGGCCTGGTGCCAAACAGACGAGACTATTGAACAGAAAAGTGAGTTAGCACCGGAGCTGGCCTTTCTCTCCCACAAACATCACCCATAAATCACATGGCAAGAACTGTCAGATCATGGACTGAGGTTCAAACTAAAGACAAACTACTGTTCCTGCATCGGTGGTTGATGATGAACGCCTACGACCTGAAATTAGCGTGTAGTACCCCAAGTATGCTCTAGGTACTGTCTGCATGTTCAAAAAGTGTCTCGAATGTTCTTTTTTTTTCTTATCATGAATATTTATTTCTTTATGTTTGTCATTCGCAAAGACTCCAGAGCTAAATCCAAACGGTCCACAATATTCAGCTGCATCCATCCATTTATCCATCCATCTATCCGTATATATCAATCTATGCATTAGTTTGATTTATCTTGTCTTCCTTAAGGTTGCGGTCCAGGTACGATTGATGAATCATGTTTCGTCAATCGTTTCAGGTAAGGTGTAAGACAACAAAATCATGTTGCAATCTTGGCTGTAAAAATAATTCTACAACTTACAAAAAAGAATACTGAAATTGCCCGTGAGGTGAGTTCATCATTTTGTGGATCACTAGATGTTAAATAAGTAGATATTAACCTATTAACTGAGTTTATCAATTATAATTATATATATATATATATATATATATACACAGACAGTTTTATTGACATCCTGTTTAAGTGCACCATCAACCTCCACTTCCACTCCAAGTTCCATTACAGGCTGTGACTGTTTAAGCGTCCTGACATGGACTTTACATTCCTCGCCTGATTAGAGACGTCCATGATGGTTGTTCTGTGCGGTTTTAAGCCGATTACAGTTGACATCTCCAGGCAGGACGTACAGATTACACGTCACGCAGCTACTGCACAGAGTGAGTTGAAAGTGTGGGACCTAAACACTGTCTGCCTTATCAGGAGGTACGTGAATCACCGATACCTTTGTGGGATTTTATTGCACAGTAGACGCATTGAAAAATTTGTTAAGTTTGACAAGTTTCTGCTAGCCACGCCCATTTTCACACTTTATTTGAAGTCATTTATATAAAGCTATATAAATTTCAACAAGTATCTGACATGAACACTGCTGGTGTCTTTCGATAAATGCAATAAACCTATGTGTATTATACTTTATCAGTCATATGTATGTATCCACGCGAAATTCCTTATTGTACAAATAAATATTTCCCAAATGTTGACTGGCAACAGCAGAAAAATGATAAACTGCAAACACATGGATGGTTGTTGCCTGAGGTTTTGAAGATAGATTTTAGATTTGAAATATATACAGATATTTTGTACACGAGATATTGAATTTATTTATTTTTGGGAAAATGTATAATACTACGTGACGATACTTTTATGAAAGAAAATAAATTCAAATTGCTATTTTTATCAACTAATCCTGTGTCTGTAGTTAAGTCAGTATTATTATTATTAATATTATTGTTATTATGGATGTATGATAATATTGTCCTACCATTATTAGCATAGTTATGTAATATCTGTAAGAATCGTTATCTGTTTTTCCTCTGATAACGCAATGCCTGGGTTTCGCCAAACGATGTGTGCCCTAAAAATAGTTTTGGGGGAAAAACGGCAGTATATGAAAGTGAAAGTCACTAGATGGCACCATTGCAGCTCATTTTATTAATCTATTTTAATAATCAGGGGATTGTATGCAGATTGCTGGTGTCAGCAACTTATACAGCGGCATATCGGCATAATGATAAAAAAATAATATCTGACATCCCTTGTTATTATTATTATTATTATTATGTTCAGATATTCTATTTAATAACATGTCACATCATCTGTCTAAATTTGAGTTTTCCATCTTTCTGAAGACAGTTTCTATAAGGTTGGAGGTGCCAACACCTATTCCACATGCCAATGTGTCCTTGGGCAAGACGCACAAACAGCTCTCACACCAGTTTGAACCCAGACGGAGTCCTTCATGCCACCACATGGACCAGCTGTCAGGAGTGAAGCCACGGAGAACGGCGCCTCTCCAGAAACACAGGACAAGCCCGGACTTGCTTGGTAGGATGTTCCACAATTTGAAAAAAAAGGAATAATCAAACAAACAAAAATCACCGTAGTCAGAACAGGAAGAAGAGAGAGGGGCAGTAGAAAAGGAGGGCAATAATCAGTCTTTTCTCTGAAACTGGATTTCCAACAACTCTACAAAATCTGTAGAAACTGAATCATCAAAGAGCAACAACAGAGCGACTGCAGAGAGTAAGGATCTGTCCTAAAGCCCGGATGTGCATTTTGAAGAGCCACTGACTGACGTGCCAGGGGGAGCCCTCACCTTGAATCCATAAAGAGGTCAGAAAAAGTTGCTACTCCCAGAGCCACAGAACCTCCTGATGACTGAGAGACACAACCTCTCAAGTTCACATTCACCTCTAACCCCTGTGTGGAAAAACATTCCCCACAGACTCATGAGAATGAGGTCCACAGGCTGGACTTCAGGACAAACTGAAGGACTCCAAATACCAGAGCTGTATCAGACCGGCTGCCGTGGGATTACAATGGTCGTCTTCCAACCTTTGACCAAGAAGGTAGATAGAGTTACAGTGGATATTAGTGAGTACTATTAGTATATGTAGATATTAGTACATTGGATTAGTGGGTTTAGTAGTTATTGATATTTGCTAAACATATGTATACATACACATATATACACACATAATACCATATATACATACATACTATATTTGTGTGAAGATTTGACAAAGTGATGAACCAGCAGAAACATCAGAACTATGCAGTTGTGGATTCCCGGCAAAGAGAAGCGGCGTTGATGAATGAATCTTGACAGCCCTGACCAGACCAGGGTAAAGACAAAGGGTTTTCTGTGCTTTAAATTCTGGAAAAGGAACGGGATTTAGGATAAAGTCTCAGCAGGGCCAATAAAAACCCTTACTTTTCCCATACATTACAGGTTTTTATAGAGATTCTATAATTGACATGTGGAGGGAATATGCGGTTTTCTTTTTTGGTTTTCTCCTGCCTGGTATGCTAATTATGTTTGGAGACTTCGTAGTCATACCACGATAATGCACACAGACGTCAAAGTGTGGTTAAAGTCTTTTTTTAAGCTTGGTTCAGGCAAGAGGTTCAATCAGTGAGTGGCAGTTTGGCCCAGTTATGTCAGGAAACGGTACCAGTGGAGATATTGTTGCAGTAAAATGTTACTGTAGAAATGGCACGAAAGTCAGCATGAGTTGCAGGAAGTACTAGAAGAAGAACTAAGTGCTACATGATTGACATCAACTGATACTTAAGGACTGTGAAGGCTACTTACTGTGTGATGGAAGTGAGACTGGGTTGAGTGTGTGGTCAGAATGACAGATGGGTTGGCGAAAGCAGGGAATGAATTAATAATTTAATCTGTTAAAGAATGTTAACAAATTGTCTGTTTATCCGACATTCCCAGCGTCTCTCAACTAATTGTTGCTCTGTTACAACGTCAGACAGGTGTTGTAATTTATAAGTCCCATCGCAGTCCCTCCAGCTATTCAGTGACTGATTATTACTGTTGAAGACTGACTGTTCTGAAAGAAACCTTGTTCAACTCGACACCATCAAGAGGATTTACGTATCTCTTGGTGACACATCCAAAGACTAAGGCGCTGAAAAATGGGTCAGGATACAATATGCTCGCAGGCAGGATGTGGTACAGGAAGGAGATTGTCAGGAATGAGGTGTTAGCTGAAGGTACCACAGGTTTCTGTATCAGCAAATATGTTTAAAATATATCTTATAGTTGCTGTGCTTTTCAGAGTAAAACTCATTCCAGTGAGTTGTCCAGTGAACTGTGGCACTTTTAATAAGTGCCCTTTGTCAGTCTCACCTGTCCGTGTCTCTCCCTTTATCAGTCTCACCCGTCCGTGTCTCTCCCTTTATCAGTCTCACCCGTCCGTGTCTCTTCCTTTCTCAGTCTCACTCTTTACCTGTTAGTGACCCCTGGTCTAAACTGATTCTTTTACTTGTATTTTTAGTACTGAGAAACCCAACTTACTCCAAACACGTGACGTTGATTTCCTTTCATCTACAGCCAGGGGCTACCACATTGTTCAACAGTAAAATTAGGAATCTATGTCAGCGCCCCCTCTCTGATGATCTGTGTCCTGAAGGCCTTGTATAATTGTCAAGTTTGGAATGCGCACTTGATAATATCTTCAAACCTGACATTAAAAAGCACATGGTCATATTTTACATTTCTTCCCTGATTATGATGAAGTTCGAGTTCCCTTCCTGGTTTGGGGTCAGCACCTAAAGTATAAGGGTAAGGATTTCATTGAATTGAAAAGACACTATAAAGAACTCTGGGAAACATTTAAGTACTTCACTTCAAAGCTAGAGAAAACACTAGCCCCAGTAAATAAAAACGTCGTTTTTTTTCTATTACAAGGGTTCACTCATCCAGATTCAGTCTTGAATGATTTCCAAGTAAAGCATCTCCAGTGAAGAGTGAAGAGCTTAACCTCTGACCAGCTCAGAAGCTGTGAGGATTAATTTATATGCTGCTATTTGTTAGATAAGAACTGGATCAGGCAAACTAAAACAACTATTCTAGTCACAAAGAAATTATTTTAAATTGTGAGGTTAAAAAAATCAACAAAACAGAGCAGTTATAAGCAGTTTATATATATATATATATATATACAACTCACACCCATATTTTGCTATTTATATATATATATATATGTACAACTCATCCTCATATTTTGCTAATTATATATATATATATAATTAGCAAAATATGAGGATGAGTTGTACATATATATATATATATAAATATATATATATATATGTACAACTCATCCTCATATTTTGCTAATTTATCAGTAATATTTCAAGCTATTTCCAGACAACATTCCATTGGTTTGAATTGCACACTCGTAGACTTATCATTTTCTTGATCTGCTGTTCATGTCAAGTCTTCTATGTTCTTTGTACTTGTCTTTCAGGATGAAGTATTTTCCTGTGAAGAGTGGGTGTAGCAGAACATCAGTCATTGGAAGCAGAGCGCCAACTCCTGGTCCTAAGAACAAAGGGCTCTTTGGATCATTTTGATCTGTTACTTGCACGTAACATTCCTGACTTGGATTTGACATTGCTGCAATGATAATTGATAATGATGGTAAAGGAGGCTTTAAGTGTTAGTGCTGATAAACTTTATCTCCTCGTGCATGACTTTTACCTAAATCTGAGCAAAACATTTCATTATTGAATTTGTAGGGAATGCAGTGCCTTATAAAACATCGAAAACACACTGAAAAACGGGGGAGAACTGCTGGACTCCTGGGAGTTGTTTCAGTGACATCGGTGAGAGTCTGGAATGTAACTTTAAACATTTACATGACCTGCATTCCCTACAAATTCAATGATGAGATGTTTTGCTCAGATTTAGGTAAATTTCTTAAAAGCTATAGTTTCACCACACTATGATTACCTACATGTCTGTCTTATATTCTCTTTTATGGCCAAAACAAGTGTATGTTTTCTAATCCTGTCCATATGCTCCTTGTCGATAATAACCAAGGCATCCTTACGATACCATCTTCTCTTTTTATTATTCACTTTTCTTTTCTTAAATCATCAACTTTGTGCTGTATGTAACATACAAAATCAGCAACAATTACTGTTATTTAGAATGTTCTTCTTTATGTTGGTCATACTCAGCAGTACGTTAAAGATGAGATGATATAAACTATGGATTTGTATACTACGTAACACAGTTTAAAACGAGATATGCGTTCGGGAATGATTTATCAAACATATTCAGGTACAAACAAAATATATACATATATAAAACGTAAATTAAAAAACGCATTTTATGATGTCGTTTCATTACATTTGATTTTCGGCGCTTGCCGTTGCCTTTTCCGGTAACACGAAAAAAAAAAACTAAAAATCTAAATTCTAATTTTGCTGTAATATGTCATAAAATATGTATAGAACTATACAGATGACACTTCTAGTAAATATTTAATTTAAAAAATGTTTTTTGCTTTGCTGGTTAAAGTAAAATAGTGTGTTCAGGAGGTACATTTGAATTTTATTTTAAAGTTGTAAACCGGAAATGACGTTGTACATAATGTTTGTTTGGCTGCGGATAGATGATGGAAAGTGCTAGAGTTTCGCGTTTGTTTGTTTTTTGACTTTGTACTGTGAACGGTACAATTTGGCCTCTGAAGTTCATTTAAATATATATATATATATGAAAAACTCCCTTAACAATGAGTTCCGCAGGAGGAATTCAGATTCCGAGTCGTCTCCCGCTGCTGCTAACCCACGAAGGAGTGCTGCTGCCTGGCTCCACGGTCAGGTTCAGCGTTAACTCTCCACGAAACATGCAGCTAGTCATTCAGCGGCTGCTGAGAGGAACTTCCCTGAAAAGTACTATCATAGGAGTGATTCCAACCACCAGAGACCCGGAGAACGACAGCGACGAGCTGCCCACACTGCACAAGTAAGTTATTTTCAACAACAGGGTCTGGGCTCAGAAAAGGGACGGCGTAGGTTTGTGCAAGGCCTTGCAATAAAGTTCGATATATTAGTTCAGTAGTTATTAAATAAAGTCTTAAATTATCCCCTGGGAATGTTCATATGTACACATTCGTTTAAGAGTGAAATTGTTTTGTCAACCCAAGTGTTTACCCTACGTCAGGTTTGGCTAGCTTGTCATGTAGGAGCCATGTTGGATCTCCTCTGTTTATTTAGCTGCACCTGTTGTGATATCATCCTATCATTTATCTGAACTGCAACACCAAGAGATTGATAGATTGATAAAAAACTTGTACTTGTTACAAAAATGAGCAGTATCAAGATTTAAAAAAAAAAAAAATTTTAGTTCATGAAACTTACTCTGACAAACAGCTTTTTCCCCCGAGGCCACACACACACACTCACCCACCCATAGACAAATAACAACCCCAAATCTCCAACAGCTCCAACACCTATCACCACATCTACCTCCTACCGAGAATGTTTACAGCCACAGGTCACTTTAAATATTTTTTGTACGAATGCACAATTTTAATATTTAAATATTTAGTTTTTCTTCTATATTTATAATTGTATATATACTGTGTTTTGCACAACTTTCACTACCACATGGTATCTTTTTACAATCTTTGTACAATTAATTTACAGCGCACGTCACAAGGTTGTTTGTATATATTTTTTGTTCTCCTGTTGTGGTGCGTAGTGGCTCTGGGTGCACCATCAATTTCGATGACAAAGACTATTCCATTCTATTCTGCTCAGATGGGTTTATTTAGTAAAGCAAAAGTTATTTTCTCATCTGTAGTATTCATTTGTAAAATGATAAAGAAAACAGCTAAACAAAAAACTAAACCTAAATTAAAGTGTTGCTCATGTTCTGCATGAGAATTTGTTTTTGTTATTTATGCATGATAAATAAAGTTAACATATTGCAGTATTCACACATTGTAGTGATTCTGACTAGACAGCTGGATGACTACTTGATATTTTTGTGTCGTGCCCAGCTCGTTGTTTGTATGTTTTGGTCTAGAATATTCCAAAGAACAGAAACTGCCACACACCCACAGAGAGGTGGACTTCAACCTTTAACCAGTCTGCCAGGCCTCTCACAGTAACTACCACAGTAATAATGGAACAGGCTCTAAATCCAAAGTTTCCTGGGTCCATTTTCAGTGCCCAACTTATATTTTACTTGGAGTATTATTAAAAAAAAAATCCCTTTTCTAGTATTTCTTTCAGCACATAGTTGTACTGTTGTGATTAAAATATTTTTCACTTTTGCTTACTTTTATTTTGGGATAAACTTGCTGTATAAAACCTGTCCGAGTTCTGTGATTGGTCACAGATCCAGCTGATGTGTTTTGTGTGCTGATGTTTCCAGATACGTGTTCTTTACACCCTCCACTCTTATTAATCCAACTCCTGTTACTTTTTTTCCGGTTGTAGGATTGGCACAGCGGGCATAGCAGTGCAGGTGGTGGGAAGTAACTGGCCGAAGCCCAACTACACCCTCCTCATCACCGGGCTGTGTCGCTTCAGTGTGTCCACGGTGCTGAAGGAGCGCCCCTTCGTCCTGGCAGAGGTAAAACTGACACTTGCTGATATGGAGTTTCTCTGGATTAAATTAAATGTTCGCTGCAGCGCCCCCTTTTGTCGATGGACTTTTTACGATTAATTATATTGTCCACATAATTCCATCATTTGGATTTATTACCACTTTCTGTTTCAGCAGTGTACAGAAATAAAACGTTTTTGTCATCTTTGTATTGTTGGATTATCTTGATTATTTGTGATTAATCCACAGCTATCATTCAGTTAATTTGATTAAATATTGTAATAGTTTTTAAGGTAGTTTTTTTTTTTAAACGTAACAGGTGGAGCAGTTGGATAAAACGGAGCAGTACACAACTCCAGCAACAGGGGGCATCAATTCTGACGATGGAGAGCTGGGGGAGCTGTCGGAGAAGTTCTACCAGGCTGCTCTCCAGGTAACAACTGTGTGTGTGATGTAATGAGGTGAATGAGATTTGGACATTTGTTTAATCACAAGGAGAGAAATCCGACATTTGATTTATTTCCATCTTCTCGTTGAGAATCTTCCAAAGAAAAGTGTTTTTTTCTAGTACAGATATAAGATACAGAACAGTGGCACATCGGGAATAAAAAATACAAAAACAATTAAATGCACTGAATTTGTTATATATAAAATCTTAATTAGACGTTTATGGTTTTCTAATCGGAAACTGCTTTACTGAACATACTCAAGTGATCGCGAAGTTTTGAATCGAACGATTAGCGAGGATAAACAAAGTAAATGTCCTAACGTTTAATCAGCTCACCAAAGAGTTCATTTAGGTTCATCTGGTATTGCAGTATCTTTCCATATGAACGCACCGACCACCGCCCTCCACAAGAGGCTGTAAACTAGTTCTGACATTTGGTCAAAATCCAAAAGCTTTTATTGATGTGTGCAGCTACGCAGCCTGTAACAAACTGAGTCTGAAGAGTCATTTATGAAATATTTAGAAACATCTGGATCACGTAAACTAAGGTCATCCTAAAGTTTACCGTTCACGTGATAGACACCACCTGCTGGCTGTCAGACGTCATAACTCACGGCTGCGTTTTTTCCGAGGTAGAATAACAATAATCCTCTTATTGAGGCTGTTGTTAGACTGACAGCCTACATGTGTCATGTCACTAAAAGGTTGTTCTTCAAAGGCCAATCAAACGCGGTGAATGTTTGTGAAGTGTTTAGCGCCATCTTTGCACATGTCACTAGTTTTAAAAAGTGTCATGGATCCTTAGAAAGCACAGATCAAACTATGCTATGTTCCAATATCGTAAAGTAAAAAAGAAAATTAAAAAAAAACCTATTTCCTATCTCATCTCTCCTCTCTCCCTCTTTCCCCGTGCCTCCTCCTCCTCTCTCTGCGGGTGTGTAGTTGTTGGGTATGTTGGACATGTCTGTTCCAGTGGTGGCCAAGTTCAGGCGTCTGCTGGACAGTCTTCCTCGGGAAGCTCTACCTGACGTGGTCACTGCGATGACACGCACTTCCAACAAGGAGAAACTCCAGGTGAGTTCACTGTAACCCGTTCGTTGCACACATTGAAAGTGTTGCTGAGTTTCCCAAAGTGGGGAGTGTGGTCTCGAAGGTGTGCAGAGCGATATGTATCATGGTACAGGAGCAACGATACAATATTATTGCAATATTTTGCGATATTTTAGGCACGACGATATATCAAGGTTTTTTCCCCCATCGTAACTGTAGTCCCAGTGTGATCCTAGTCTCAGACTCTGTTCCATCTGAACATCAGGTTATTAACACTGGAACAGAGGGATCTACATTTGGAATCACTCGAGAAGAAAGAAAAGAAAAAGAAAATGAACCAACACCAGGAATATTTTTGATAGTTCAGTATTTTCTTACACCTCTGTTGTCAATGTAAATTATAAATCACAGTATTGTAAAAGTTCAGTGCGTGAATGTGTCGACCACCAGGTGGTGCTAAAGGAGCCAGAGTATAAAATGTTTGTTTTTCCTATATTATACTAAAATCATTTATTTTTCTCTCTGTGTGTGAAGGTTTTGGAGGCAGTGAGTTTAGAGGAGCGCTTCAAGGCGGCCCTGTCCCTGCTGACCAAACAGATCGACGGTCTGCAGCTACTGCAGAAAACCAAGAAGAGGGCTCCTCGCAGTGACAAGAGGGTGAGTCGTCGCTCTGTTTCACAGCATCCGTTCAGTACACGACTCCTAACAGCCGGTTAACGTCTGCTCAGGTTCTACCCATGCGTAAAAGCGGAGTGATTCCACTGGAGCAGTTCAAAGTCAGTGATGAAGAAGAGGATGAAGAAGACACTGCAGTCCTGGAGAAGAAAGTTTACAGCGTGAACATGCCAGAAGCTGCCCTCAAAGTTTGCCTCAAAGAGCTGAAGAGGTGAAGTTTCCTCCATGGAAAAAATATTTCTGTGGAGAATCTTCTACGTTTAAACACAGTGACCTGAGTTTTCTTTCGACGTTTCAGCAGCTAAACTGTGTCCCAGGTTGAACTCTCCTCTAATCTATCTTATCGTTGTGTCGTGATATAAATCGTGTCGGCAGATTCTGACCAATACTCCCCCCTAGTAGTTATTACATGACGTTACAACATCCTTGAGAGTACTCCTCTGTGTACTGTCCTGTGAAGGTGAAGTTCTCTACTCTTCTGTGTTCAGGTTGAAGAAGATGTCGGAGTCCATGCCGGAGTACTCCCTGATAAGAAACTACCTCGATCTGATGGTGGAGCTGCCCTGGAACAAAAGCACCAAAGGTCAGTGTCCGTGTTTGGTGGTGGTGGTGGTCAAAAAGCAGGCTGTGGTCCACATGTGGCCCAGACACAACCTAGATCGAGTAATCGGAATTCCTGCAGATGGCAGACCACGAATGTAACACACGTGTAGCCTAGCAACACGCTACGAACAATGCATACAGTATAGTCTAAAAGTGTCAGCAGTTTGTCCAAGAAAAAAAAAAGATCAATGAAATTCTTCAGGTTAATAGGACTGAAAATAAATTAATTTTCCTGGAAACTCCAGGATCAAAATACAGTGGAATCTCGGGATAGGAATATAATCCAAGTTTAATCCACTCAGTCTCGTATCTCGATTGCAATTGGTTCCATCCCCCCCAGATTTATACTATTAATTAATGAAATTAAATTCCTATCTAAACATCAAAACCATAGATATAAACTTATACTGATGATATAAAAAATAATAATTAAGAAAACATTTTATATTATTGTTACAAAATGGGTAAAACTACCCAGAGAGGGACAGTGAGGGAGACAGCGCCACAGTGTGTCGAGTGGAGAAATGGAGTTCAGTTGACGACTGGTAACTCGGGTGTTTCTTGCACAAGTTGCTGACTCATAACTTAGAAAACTCGTATCTCGAGGCCCCAACTCTGTTTAATTTATGATGTGTCTGTTTCTGGATACTCAACAAACTTAATGTTTTTTATCAGATAACTTTGTTTTGCCGATGATCCTGTCATTTACGTTATTTAAAAAAAAGTTAGTTTTTAAAAAACCCAAAGGTAAAATTGTGTTTTAATCATCTGCAGCTGCTGCCTGAACCCAACCCTCCCCCTAACCCCACTGTGCACAACTCCCTCTCATATATCACAAACCCTCTCCTCTGTCTCCGGCTCTCTCTTAATTCTCTCTGCATTAACCTCATCAGAACGTTCTCCTAAATCTAACGACCCTCTCCTCAGACTGCCTGGACATCGCAGACGCTCGAGCCCTGTTTGAAAACGACCATTACGCCATGGACAAGCTGAAGAGGCGTTTGCTGGAGTACCTGGCTGTCAGGCAGCTCAAGGCTTCACTCAAGGTCCTTGTTGGAGATCCATCAGCCCTGGTCCTGGTCAACGCTGCAGGTCTCTTTATTCACACTGCCTCTTTCTACCCTCAGGGGCCCATTCTGTGCTTCGTGGGGCCTCCAGGAGTGGGCAAGACCAGCGTGGGGCGCTCCATTGCCAAGACTCTTGGTAGAGAGTTCCACCGCATCGCCTTGGGCGGCATCTGTGACCAGTCTGACATCAGAGGCCACAGGTAGGCTCGGGGTTTTTGGATTCACTCTGGAGGTTTTTATTTTTTTTTAATGTTTAACGTTTGCCTCAGTGCTGTCGGCTGAATTATGGCTGTTTAATTTCTAGGGTTAACTTGTAATTAGGGATGTCCGATGATATCGGGGCAACGATACGATATAGTGCGATACTGTAATCGCAACAATATATTGAAGGTTTTCTTTTCACTAGTGTAACTGAAGTCAAAGTGTGATCGAAGTAAAGACTAATGGCTTAATATGAGTTACTTTTTTCGCGACATTTTCTTCTGCTGATCGTTACCACGGTCGTCGCTCGGTCACTTTTCGCAACGTTATTAATACCATTTTGGCTTCAGCGACTCATGTTTCATAATAAACCAAACAGGTAAACACAAAGTGAGGGTGTAGATTTACGATCATTACGTAAAGATAAAAGCCCCTCACCCGTTCACGCCCCCTCCCATCTCACCTCCTCAGCAGCGGCTCGTCTCTGTCCAGTGAAATACAGCATTTGGTGATTTAAGGAGGTGGAGAAGCTTGAGAATAAACAGCCAGTGTCAGGAAAGTGAGTGACTTCACCAGGGTTGCGTAGGAGGGCAGTGTTTCTGCAGCTGCCCTCCGATACGTTGGTCTTTCTTTAGACGATGATCAGTCACCGCACTGATGGAGGAAAAACACCGAGTCCAACGGCATGAATTGCTAAATTGTTTCAAGGTTTTATTTACCCACCTGGTGTTTGAACTTTGTGTCTGCGGGGTCTTTGTCAACATGGAGATTTACACTTAAACACAACATCTAACTGACTGGAATGCACATGCAAACACTTTAAATTAGAAATTGACGTGATGATGTGCAGAGGAACCAGAATGTATGTGTTTCTTCAAAGCAGACGTGGGGAAACTATGGCCCGTGGACCAGATACGGCCCACTGGGCTTTCTAATCCGTCCACCAAACACTGGTACAAAGTCTGTTAAAGACTGATAGGCGATCCTTCTGTTTCATGAATTTCTACAAATCGACTGTAATACCTCTTGATGCCACTAGATGGCGGCAGATAACAAATGTGCCAAAATTATCTTTGGAAGCTTAGGCTTATTCCTTTATTTAAACTATTTCACCCTTGCAATCTACATCAGCTAATACAAAACATAAGTTAAAAAAATAAAATAAAAAATTAATAGTTAAAGTTAGAAAAAAAAGTGTGACAGTGTGAATGCATAGATTTGTGTGTGTGTTTGTGTTGTGGGGTGAGTCCATCTCCAGTTACAGGGTTGATTCTTAACATTTGAAAAAAATAAACATTCTCCTCAGTGGAATGTGAAACATGTGTCTCAAACACCAGCAGGGGGCTCAGTGATAAAGATGAAAGTTTTGCAGCTGCTAATTTGACCATTCCCTCCTCACACACACCTCCAGATACGACAGCTCAGGTGATTTTGCGCTTGTTAAAATTCTTGGTTTAATTTAATGCCCTGACACTCACCTGCACCTGAGTCATGTGACCAGCTGCCCTCTCCCACATAAATCACCCCGCAGGAGGTGCTGTGTATGACACACACCCTGAGCTACTGTAACTCCTGTCTAGACAAGGAGACGACTCTTGTTGACAGTGTTGGAAGACGTCGATGTCCTGGTGTTTGACCAGGACATAAAATGATTTCTTTCATTGCTGTATGTGGAACGATGTGTGAAAACGAGCAGCGTGTGTGTGTGTGTGTATAAGCAGTTTCAATAAGGCTAACTTAGCGATGTGAAGTAAAGATTGTCTAGTTTTAAAATTCTTCATACAATCACGTTGAACATTTGTCAGATGGATTGTTCAGGACTGTAGACTGATTGATATTGTTGACGATAACGACTGGACTGAAGTTTAGAAAGAAACTCTCTGCACGTTTACTTTTTTCATGATCAGGAATGTTGATTTCTTTCGTTTAATCGTGCTAAATAATGTTCACGATTATTTGCAATTAATCATGATTGATCCACAGATTTATCAGATTAGAAATTGTAATTTTTTTGACAGCCTTACTGTAGTTTTTTATACATAAATGTGTGCAGCTACTAGTAATAACAAGTGGGCCTAAATAAGCGATGTCTGATAATATTGGCTAACTGATATTATCCTATATTAGCATAATTGTGTAATATCGATAAGAATCGTTATCGGATGTTCCTCCGATGATGAAAATCCAATAATGCAATGCCTTGATTTGGCCCAGATAGTGTGTCCTAAAAATAGTTTTTGAGTGAAGGTGAATTATTTTCACGATGATAAACATTGTGATGCAAACGGCTGCAAATATCAGTGTCGGCTGATATTGGAAAATTAAGAGTTTGGACAATAAGTTAGTATGTCTAAATGGTTCTTGGTGTCTGCAGGAGGACGTATGTGGGGAGCATGCCCGGTCGCATCATCAACGGTCTGAAGACGGTGGGCGTAAATAATCCCGTCTTCCTCCTGGATGAGGTGGACAAACTGGGGAAAGGCCTCCACGGAGACCCCGCGGCTGCTCTGTTGGAGGTCAGTCTGTTTTATCACCTCCTCAGGTTACCAACCTCCGTTGTCTTTTTCACTCAGTTTCAGGCTAAGTAATTAGTTCCCCGTAAAACGTCCACCTAAGTTTAACTCGGTGTAATTCACAACAAGACTCGGCTGTCCATGTGGCTTTTAAGGTCCTGGATCCAGAGCAGAACCACAGCTTCACAGACCTTTTCCTCAATGTGCCCTTTGACCTCTCCCAAGTGCTCTTTATTGCCACCGCCAACACCAAGGCGACCATCCCCCCGGCCCTGCTGGACAGGATGGAGGTGCTGGAGGTTCCAGGTGAGTGTAGGGTCACACAGTCTGAACAAAGTAGAATCTGAGTAGTTTTTAAACCATTTTTACAAAATAATTTTTCTCATGTTTTAATGTTGACTGACTAAACATGACATGTAGGGATGTAACAATAAGATTACACACTCCAGTACACTAGGTGGCAGTGTACTTTTGAGTAACTTCTTGTGAAACTAAGACAGGCACCATTGCTGAAGATTTTTATATGTCGTTGACATACCAAAAAAGTATAATATAAAAGGACATTGCTACTTATTTTTATCTACTATATATATATACGTATTTGTTTTTATTTTTCTTTGACGACAGAAACTTATTAGTATAGTATGTTCCTGTTTCTTTTTTTCCCATGACATACATTTTATTCTGATTTCTTACATGTTTAACTGATAATATAAGGGTTAATTAAAGATGCAGTTGATTGATTAAAAAACATTACATGATTATTTATTTATTTATTTTTCCCACGTCTGTTGTTCCAGGCTACACCCAGGAGGAGAAGGTAGTGATAGCCCACCGCCATCTGATCCCCAAACAGCTGGAGCAGCACGGACTATCACCTGAGCTGTTGCACATACCCCAGGAAACCACACAGGAAGTCATCAGCAGGTGAAAAATGACTCTGAACCAGAAACGTACCATCGCCACATCACGACGTTTCACCATCTTGTTGTTTTTTTTTTTTTAGGTACACACGAGAGGCAGGCGTTCGCTCCTTAGAGAGGAAAATCGGAGCCGTGTGTCGAGCCGTGGCGGTGAAGGTCGCTGAAGGAGTCAAGAAAACTCAGTCGTCCGACCCTGAATTGTCAGGAGAGCCGAGAGGTGAGTCTGTGGTTTCTACTCTCTCTTTCTGTGGTTTAGGCTCAGGTCATAATCACACCACATCATTTACTAACAAGTCATTTTGGTAACTGAGGTTTTAGAGCCACAGTTCATCTCAAACAGATGTGTCTGAAACTGTACTCAGTTCATCTCCAGACCTCCTGCTGGGCCAGTAACCAGGTCCAGTCTGACTGTGGTTTCAGCTGTTATTTATGAAGAACTAATTTGAACGATGACAAAATCAGGGCAGAGTTTAGTTTCACTTTAAAAAAATCCAATTCATTAAATTAGTGCTAAAATGTTGAGCTTCTAACTGAACAGCTCTTTGTTCGTAAGGTTTAGTAAATTGTAATAATAACTAATAGAAATGTTAAGTCAAAATATTGTTAAGTACAAAGGCGTCTGAGTGGTTTGAGCAACAAAACAGGAAGTAGAGTTTAGTCAGTTTAGAAGATTGCTTCCAGGAACTCCTGGCACCAGGAGAAGTTTTTTTTTTCTTCACTCTTTAGTAGTTCTAGTCCTAAGGCAGAGACTTTGTTTTTTTTTTTTTTTTAGCTACAACAGACACCACAGCTAACCTTAGCTACAACAATTAATAATTAGCCAAAGGTCACACACATGAATAAAAGTCAGAGAAAAAAAAATGTCTTTAGAATATTTTTATTGATTCATTCTTCACTCTTTGTGTGTGTGTGTGTGTGTGTTCAGACAGGACGGCCCCCCCTGAGTGGCCCATCGTCATTGATCGCGTGGCCTTGAAGGACATCCTAGGCCCGCCGCTGTTCGAGTTGGAGGTGAGAACATGGAACACAGAACCACTGTAATCCTCCCACCTGTCTGTTCTCCTCACTCATGCAGATCTTTCTTCTGTGTGTGTGTGTAGGTGTCTGAGAGGTTCACCTTACCAGGCGTAGCTCTGGGTTTGGCCTGGACGCCGTACGGAGGGGAGATCATGTTTGTGGAGGCCAGTCGGATGGAGGGGGAAGGTCAGCTGACCCTGACCGGTCAGCTGGGAGACGTTATGAAAGAATCCGCCCACCTCGCCATCACCTGGCTCCGAGCTAACGCCAAGAACTACCAGCTGACCAACTGTGAGTTCCAACACACACCACACACACACAGAGAGAGAGAGAGAGAGAGAGAGAGTGAGTGTTAGTTCAACAGACTCTGTAAAGGTTTAGGGCTAAATTTCAGCCAGTACTGTCATGGACTTTATCTTACCTTAGTGTTTGTGTGTGTGTGCAGTGGTCGGGGGTTCAGATCCTCTGGAAGGGACCGACATCCACCTCCACTTCCCTGCTGGAGCCGTCACCAAGGACGGACCCTCGGCTGGTGTTACCATAGTAACCTGCTTGGCCTCTCTGTTCAGCGGCCGATTGGTCAGATCAGACGTCGCCATGACGGGAGAGATCACACTGCGGGGGCTGGTCCTTCCGGTAAGTCTTGACTAGTCTTCCACATTTCAAACCGTGAGGACGACGTCCGGTCCCTGATTGGCTGTCTGTGATGTGTGTGGTCTTCAGGTGGGCGGGATCAAGGACAAAGTCCTGGCAGCGTACAGAGCCGGAGTGAAGAACATCATCCTGCCCAAACGCAACGACAAAGACATGGAGGAGCTTCCTGCCAACATCAGAGCCGACCTGGACTTCGTCCTGGTGGAGAACCTGGACCAGGTGCTGAATGCGGCCTTCGACGGAGGCTTTCCTGGAACAGGAAGTTCACACACACATCCTCAGCTGAGCAGCAAACTGTAACACAGTGGTTAGGGGTTTCCTGGAGAGTCCCACGTCTGTGTCTAAGACTGCAGTGGGAACCAGACTGTGGTGAGACTTTTATGTTGTTATTGACTGCAGCTCTGATTCTGATACACTATACAATGAAGTAGTACTACAACTGGTACTCAACTGTGATTGTGCAATCCTTCATTCGTCCTACTAAAAACCTGCTGGAACCAGTCTGTCGATTTGTGCTACAAGTCTACAGTTCACAAATCTGTCCTAATTTTTAGTATGGATAAACATCAGATCCTACCTTGAACCACTAGAGGGAGCCAAAGTAGAGCGAGCGCTGTGACGGTAATTATGGCACGTTGCAACAAACCTGGTGAAATAAAATATGTTGTTAAAAATGATTGTCAATTATTGATGACTGATTGACTATTGATTAATAACAACAGTATTAAATTTTTACACACTTTAGTCAGTCTTTATCTCAGGCTCACGTCAAAGAACATGATGTAAAATGTTTAAGTAAAAACCTATTGAACCCCCCCCTGAACTGTCCAATAGAAATCCAGCTGCAGTCACGTGACCTAAGTACAATGATAACGTCACTTTATGAACATGAACGAGTTAATTGCAGTAATTCTTACTTTTGTGCAATATTTGATTACACAGGAAAATGATGATGATAATAATACTAATATATTACTACATACTACTATTCTGTCAGTACTATGGCAATTTTTTTATTAACCTGTTTTTTAATCTGTGAAAAAGTTCTATTAAAGACAAATAAATCTGAACTAAAAGTGTTGTTTGGAGATGTTTAAAACAAGAACTGTAACTAATTTCTTTTTTTCTTTTTTTTGTGGCCACAGAAAGTGTTTGTCAACCACTGAAAATTACACTTTACTATAAAGTGACAATTCAAAATAGTGGTTCGGTACTGGCGACATTAAAGGTAAGATAAAATTTATACTTACTCTCTGAAAAGTACTACATCGTGCGCTCAAAACAATTAAGCGTACTATAAAGATAGAAATATAGATTTTTTTTTAAAATAACAGCAGAAAAAGAAATTTAATAAAAAATGGTTTGATTCGTTCATTAGATCAGTGATCCTCAACCCCTGGGACACGGACCGGCACTAGTCCACGGGGGTCAGTTGATTCCGGACCACACAAAGAATGCACAACTTACATTATTTCTGTTTTATTTATGATCTGATTCTGAACTATGTTTGACTTTGAAATAATTACAGGATTCTTTCTCCGCCACATCTTGACATGCATCAAGTGTGAGTCACAGAGAGCTGCGGCGGAGAGAGAATTGGGTAATTTTTTCCAAAATAAAAACATTGTTCAGAATCAGATATTAAATAAAACAGAAATAATAATAATAAAATAATGCATTCGTTCTGTGAGGCCCGGTACCAACTGGCCCACGGACCAGTGCCGGTCTGTGGCCCAGCAGTTGGGCACCACTGATGTAAAGGGCACGTGCTGCTAGTCACTGAATTAATTTGGACTTTGTTCAGGAGGTTTGTCAAAGATTTTCTTGACGATCACTTTACCTTAACGCCTGAGTCACGCTGAGTCGTCAGTCACATGATCCCACCTGGATGACACGTTCGTGAAGAACAAAGAACCTGGAACAGAAAATAAAAAACAACAATCAAAATTACAGACTACATTTCCATTGGATTTTTTTTTTTTTACCAAAATGTTAACTTTTTTAACCCCCCATTTCTAACTCCTCACATCTCCCTGTACAGCCCTCCTGGGGGCGGGAAGGGGGGGGGGGGTGCCCCCCCACTTTTGGGAACCTATATTGCGTGAGCACCCATAACTTATATGCTGCGTGACACCAACTGTGAAGTATGTTTAAACTGCAGCACGTTTTTGTGTTGCTGAATGTTATAATCACACCACCCAGCAGCTGGTGCTGTTGAGTCATGATGGGTCTGTTGAAACAGCTGCGTGGATGCTGACTCAGCACTTCACTTGTTATAAACCTGTTGATCTTTGGCTCACTTAATATATCAAAGTCTGTACTTAAAACACACACACACATATATATAGAGTATATATATGTGTGTGTGTGTGTGTTATACCTATATTGCACGCTTTCACGGTTGCAGTAGTGTAAACATGAAAGCAGTATTGCATATGTGGCAGTGTGTTCAGCCCAGACACACCCAGACTCGGGGTTAAAAAGCCCAGTATTAGAAGCTCTCTGTTAAAACCCTTGGACCCAGCGTCGGCCTGTGACCACACACACACACACACACGCACACACACACACACACCTCCCTCAGCTGAACACAGGACGGTGGCAGAGAAAAGGATGCTTAAAGAGGTCCTGGCCAAGATGTCTGACCAGGACCTCTTTACCTCCATGTCTGTCAGAATTGGGCCATTGTTAACACAGTTAAAAAAAAAAAGGAAATTTCTGATTTTCATTGGCACAATCCTTGTTTAGTGTGTCATTTTTGGTCAGATATTAAAATAATTATGATGAATAATTTTATCTTTCCTGCACCTTTCTCATCAATTTAAATTGTTTTGACAATTTAAATACATTTTGGGATTTATGTTTTGGGATT